TGTGGATTGAGGAGTTCGAAATTAATTACTCCTTTGATTTCCAACCAAATGCAAAGCATCACTTTCTGCGGATGGAGTCGGAAGCGGGTTTTGTCTAGGATTGAGCCATTGCTTTTGGCATTTAATATTTGCATAAAGAATCCATTTTTCATCACCAGTGACAATTCTGTCCAAAAATGGTTCATGTGCATTACGCACTAGAAGAGACAAAGCAATGTTCACACACTGGAAATGATAATAATCAAAGAGTTTGTGAGGCACCCAAGCACCTTCTTTATGGAGTTTTCCCATATTCCCTAGATATTTATGTATTGTTTTACGAGAGACATGCAATTTCAGGGCCATTTCAAGAGTGTTTTGCCTTGGGTTAGACTCAAGAAGTCGGCCTCTGCCATCACAGTTTTTAAGGCTAAAGTCACCTGAACAAAATTTGCTGAACCATCATTAACACTTATGAACGTTCAAAACATTTCCATAAATTTCTTTGATATTCGTTGTGGCTACAGAGGCATTGTTTCCCTTCTTGTATTCAAACAGCATTATATGCTGAATGTGTGTCTCATCGTGTGCCATCACTATAAGGGATTAGAATATACTGAACTTTACACATTATATAGGCTACACTAATGTGACATTTAGGTGGTTTGTTTAACTATTATATGTGATGTACGTTTTTGGGAGTGATTAATGAAAGTGTTCTAAAACGTAACATTAATTTCTTGACGACCTAATAATCTTAAATAAAGGTTACAAGCAGAAAACTAACAATACTATTTTTCAAAAGAATGATATCTCAAAAAATCTTAAGTAATAATTCATGATTCACAACTTCTGACATAGTGCACACTTGTGTTAACAAAACAGAAACTTACCCAGTTAATCAGAACAAACTTTGGCAAACTAGTGTTGGGATCTGTTACTCTACAAAATGCATACATAATTTTCCCACTGTTCAGTTCATCAACAAGCTCTTCTAATCCATCATCTGTAACAAAAACCATACATTTCCCAAAGATTAAAAATAGTCAAGGCAGTAGGGAACAGCTGACTATGCTGCTGCAAGGAAGGCACGTTGTGACAGTTATTTATCAACACAGAAAATATTTCAAGCGTAGAATTAATAAAAACCAATAACCTCAAATTTTGATGAAACCTTTTAGTATTAGGAAAAATTACTTGATAACTTCTAGCGATGAAACACAAAAATCTTCTGACAAGAACTATAATTTGGTAACCAATGGCAATACACACTTTGATTTGGTTTTTATTATTTTGTGTTTATGCCAAAGAAATTACTGATATACTTCAAAATAACATTCTTTTTCAGAAAACAACACAATGAATAGATTTCTATGATTAGATCCTACCTTCTGTCTAGTTTGGTGAAGGACTCCACACAGAGTCCAAAACATCATTTCTTAACCAGAGAGAGAGAAGGCAAAGGCAGTCCTCAGGAAAAAATTAATCACATCAACACACTGCATAAAACTTTCCCTAAGTGAAAAGTTTCACTACAATTGTGTATAGGGGGGAGGGAATGTTTCTTCCAATGACCACACATATAAAATTATATCTAGCCATTACAGATGCACAAGTTATTGACTTACCTCCTTTAGAAACAAGCATAAGGTTGTTGGTTTGTTTTTCATAGCCAAATAATGCCCTGAAGAAAAAATTAAGCATACATGTTAGAACTTAAATCATCAGATTTCATAACCATAATAATAGTTTAAATACATTTTAAGGTAAATGATCATCTTAGAAGGTTCAGTTAAGTTTTATTATTGTAGTTTTAGCTTTTTGAAGATGTTATGGTGAACTTAAACATAAAAAGATTTGCTACTGCTCACTGAAGGATGTCATTTTGAATATTAGTGATAATAAAGAGCTGTGCCAAAAGAACTAAAGAAATTCAAACATAAGGATGATGCTGGTCAGTTTAATTTACTAATGCTGCTGCAGAATTGCAACAGAAGATCAAAGCAAATTCAAACTGATTATCAAGCCTATTGCTTCTTTCTAGGTGACCTATGATGATCGCTAAATCAACAGTTTCATCACAGTCTGACATAACAAACTGAAATCCTTAGCATTTCTTGCCAAAAATTGACTGCATTCAACATTATGTTTTTTTTAACAACTTCCAGGTTTTTAAAATACTAGTGGATTTGATATCCCAAAATACAATTGAGTAAAATAATCTATAAAATTCCTAGCTATAATATTTTTCCCCTCAAAAAAGTGGCTTTCCATTGTTAAAACACAAACTGTCGAAGAAATGCATTTTTGTTCAGTTAGGTCGATTAACTCTTTCAGCACAGGCTCAGTCCCTGGGATCAACATTGTAACCATTTAGTGCTTGTTATAGTTTTCATGCTATAACTTTTAAATTAGTAAGCATATGTTCACAAAATTTGGCAGATTATCAGTAAACATTAAAAGGCTTTCATATGCAAAATATCAAATTTTTCTATTCAGTCTTAAGGTTTTTTAAGCAATGTTTTTCTCATGCCTTTTTCTTTTCACATGTTGCCTATCCAACATGCAAAGTAATTTTCATTTTAAGATTAAAAATACTTTTATGCATCAGAAAATTTTCAAATCTCACATGCAAAATCTTTATAATGTCCAGATAGTTATCAAACATTTCTTAAAATAAAACTTTATATTTCATCTGTTATTTTCACTAATGAATCTCTGTATAGGTCTTTTTT